TAATTATCGCTCTTAATTGTAATTGTAAATACTTATATCATGTTAAAATTAGTCAAAAAAAAATTATGTTATTTATCCATAGATGTAGATAGCCTTATAGGCTAGGAATGTCTTATTATAAAATAAAAAAAAAAAGATATTTTCAAAATATCCTGATATACATAAACAGATTTATATAATAATATTTCAAAAGATATAACTATGCAATAAATATTTTAAATAGTTTATGCGGTGCTAATTTTAAACCTGGGAGTGCTAAGCACCCCCCTATGTGCGCCTATGTACTCAATGCTCTTATGCAGTTTATGGGTGAGTACAGAGAAACGGGATTTAATCAAATTAACTTGGAGCAAAAGAGCTGTCTAAGTCTTTGGAGATTGAAACAGAATTTAAAGTTCCAAGATACCGAAAAGAAAAATATTTCAATATGAAGGTAATACAAATTATACAACAGATCCAGAGAATGATTTTAGATGTTTGTACTTCTTGGGACTAATGGATAATGCAATTCATGAGTCTATAAAAAATATTTGACCAAACAACATATTATAATAACATTATATTAAACGTATTCAGTTTCCGATTAGATTGGCATTTACAATGACTATCAATAAGTAACAAGGCCAAACGATTTCTGTTTGTGGCTTAGATTTGAGCACACCATGTTTTTCACACGGACATTTATACGTAGCATGCTCTCGAGTGGGTAAGCCATCCAGTTTATTTGTGTTAGCAAAAGATKGGCTAACAAAAAATATTGTTCACGCTATAGCATTAAGAAATTTATATTGTTTGTTAGTGTYACTGTCGTAATTAATTAATGATATATACATTTTGAGGAATAAATTATAATAAATTTAAAAATTAAATGTTTGGTGTTTTGTTATTTATATCTTCCCTCATCGTTCACAGCGCTCCATGCCTTTTCCCAAAAACTCGTTTACAATATGCGATGATGCGAATGATCTTTATAGTTTTGTAAAGACGAATTTCGAAGGAAGAGGCGGTCGAAAATAGTCTTGGTGARGCCCAGGGTKACCACAAGGACTGTGAATCGTGTTTTAAGGTCTGTGACAGCCGTAGCAGAAGATGATGGCCATATCCTTAATCTTGGACCAAAAACGTGGATCCGTTCCACCACATTGTATGTTTCAGGAGTTCAGTAAGGTAGAATCCACTCGACACAATAGTTTGGATTTTCACTGATTGGAACATATCGCCAGAGTGATGGTGGTGTGAGGATCTGGATCTGGCTGGTTCTGTTTGCAATGAATGTGGAGATGATTGAATCCAGACATGAGTGGTCAGCGAATCGTCCAGGCGTGCATGGCGTCGATGAATAGTAGTTGTTTGAGAAGTTCGTACAAATAATGTAACAGTTGAGCTCACAACACTACACCGCAACATTCTAATCGTGAAATAGCCACTGGTATTAGAGGTGACAACTTAGACTTTGCAATTATGATGTTGCAAATAATTTGATTACCGAAGTTGCAACGTAGG